CACTATATACACACACACACACATGCCCCACACAACAACTACCCCCCGACTTTCCTCTGAGATTCCGAATCCTGCCCATTCTTCAAGGCTCAGCCCAGGCCTGTGACCTCAGTGACAGCCCCCAGGGGCCACTCGCTCTGGTAAGCTCCCAAAGCTCTGATGGCCTGTCCCTCTCACTGACACATTTCACATGCTGCTTGTAGTGCCATGTGTCTTTTAAATGTTAATCACAGGCACTTGGTAGAATTTTGATTGTGAGCTGAATGAGAGCCAGTCCCTGATCAAACATTGCTCAGAAGAGACACTTGAGAGAGAGGCCACAGCCCACGTTCCTGGGGTGGGCTTCCGCCGGTTTTATTCCTCCTCTGTGTGACCATCAGAAAGCGGAACACCTGGAGCACACTATCCCAGCCGCTCACATAAACGCTCTCCATGAGTTATGCTTTACTGTCAGGCCTCTTGCTTTTATGGAGGGTCGATACAAGAATCATCTGGTTGAACAACATTTTGGTATCTTTCGTAAAACTGCCGTTGAAGACATCGTTCACTCTTTCACTCAGTGTCCTTTCAAGGGTCTGCACGATAAAACCTGGTTTGTGTTTAGCTCCAGGAAGAAATTCTATTTCTGCAGATGAATTAGTTAGTATGCTTCCTGTTGTCAGAAAATGAAAACTGTAGCTCTGAGTGCTTCTCTTTCTGCTTAGTGGCTAGATAAGAGAGAGTCAAATTTACTGCCTGTGTGTTGTAATCTGCTCAGCTGTGGGGTCCAAAAGCATTTACTCCTTCAGCTGCTTTTAAACGGACTTTTTTATTTTATGTTCAAATGTCTCATTATACTTTTCCAAGATGTGTGAATCTGGAAGTCACCTGGGGAGGCATCGATTTGGCCTATTTATGGCCCATGCTGGCTGCTGGGGGTACAAAGATTCATTTGACAGCACCCAGCTTTCTAGGAGCTCATATTTTAGCATGGAGAAGAGCTATGGAAGTAAATAATTACAGAACAAGGTTGGTGCTCTGACAGAGGTGCATGAGGTTGGAGGACAAAGCAGACATGGGGAGAAGGGGCTAGGGAAGGCTTCATGGAGGAGGTCAAGGGTGAATTGGTTTGGGGCTGCAGTGGGAAGAGGACATTGAATGGAATAATATATGTGTCTAATTATGAAAGCAGACAAAGTTATCTTTTCATGTCTGTGTGCCCTCATGCGGGCTAGGATGGGAACTCTTGGAGGCCAGGCATTGATCTCTGTCCCTCTGTGGACTCCATGATGCCCGGCACTGTGCTGAGGGCAGTGCAGTGTGGTGGTTACAGCACGGGCCTTGAGCCAGGCTGTCTACATCTGCATCCTTAGCTGAGCAAAGTCAGGCAGGTTCACTTAACCTCTTTGGGCCTTAACACTAAAGTGAGGACAAGAGTGCCTCTACCTCATGGGCATTTTAGGAGCATCAAAGAAGAAAACACACATACAAGCTTAGAATCATCCTGGCACATGGTAAAGTACTCAAGGAACGTTTGCTGAGTAGTCCCATCTGCATTATCGACAATACCGCACCATTTAGGGTAGCTGGTACCATAAAGTGGGAAAAACGCACACAGCTGAATTCAGCACAGCATGCTCAACTCAGCCAGCTGAATCCAGTTCAATTAGTATCACTTCCAAATGAAGCCTAATTAAAAATAACCCTGTTTTATTGTTTCCTGAAAGAGTGTGAGGGAGTAGGCCCTACTGTAAATCCACCGGTAACTTTTGTTTGTTTATGATCTTCTTAGAGAAGATCATTGATGTTTCTCTTAGAGGACCCCCACCCGCTCTGGCTGTCACATCTAGGGGGCCTACTGGGCCCAAGGCCTCTCCTGCCCCACTCTGTCTTCATTGGTTTCCCTGTTCACTGACTTTCAAAAGGCCCAGGGTTCGTGGGTAGGCAGTAAATGAAGAGAGAGCCGTAATCTGGATTTTCAGCCAAGAAGGGGAGTAGAAGTGTTCATAAGAGCATACACACACACACACACACACGCACACACATGCACACACATGCGCAAAACTGGCCTCTCCATGGGTACCTGACTGTGTGCCAGTGGTTTGGTGGTAAATGTTTAACAACCAGCTCTCTGGGAAAAAAAAAGTGCCAATTTATAATGTTTTTCAGTTTCCTTTGTATAAATACTCCCACCCCACATGATTTCAAGCTGCCAGTGTGATATCACTGGACGTGGGACCAGGAAGAGATGCACGGAAGCACACCATTATATGGAATTTCCAGTATACAAACATAGTAGATGTAAATCACCTCAAGAGGCCAGATAAGAGTAAAATGTTGTAAATTAATTAGGAAGTGATGAATTTTGAGTATTTGTTACCTTTGTTTTTTAATACAATTTATTTAATTGTAAGCTCACATAATTTAATTTTTCCTGAAAAATTCCTGAAATGGTAACAATCGCTCCTCCGTCGTGGAACGAGCTGGCTCCAGCACCTCACTGGGTCTGGCTTGCCTTCCTCCACATGGCGCTCTCATGTCACCACTAAATCTTGGTTCTGCTGGGGTATGCGACTGCCTTTATTCAAATTATCTTGGGCACACGTCTACTCATACACACATATTCTTATGCAAAATACGAGAAAACTTCTCTGCTCAGACTTGCTCATTACCCTCTCCCCACTCCCCCAACACAACCAACCCTGCCTACACTTTCATGGGAACCTAGGAACATGGAGGCAAAAGAAAGAAACACCACCAAAGGGAATACTTAAAATGGAGGGTGAGGGAGCGTGAAGAGAGGTAGACAAGGAAACAGAACAGAAAGCAGGGAGGGAATACAAGACAAGCCAAACCCACAGAAGTGGCAGGGCCAGAGCAGACGTAGTCACTGCTCCATGCCTCCACGGGAAGCCCAGATTACAGAGCATCGGGGAGCCAAATACACTGTGTGCGTTGCTATGAGTCTTAGAGGAGCCGTGGGTCCTGGCCTGCAGCCCCAGCGCGAGTCTGAAGGGCGAGGGTTAAGGCAGGAAATGGCTCTATAAACAATCTGTTGTGTTGGGAGGTTTCTCTCAGTGAGAAGAGTTCCCTTGGGAAATATGTTCACCTGGGACACACAGGCACTTGTGGCTCCAAATCTCCCTCAGACAAGCTCCCAGGGAGTTTGGACGGCAGCATGGCATTTAGTCTCAAAATGGCAGCTGGGAGATGTTAACACTTCTTCTCTAATTGGGATAGTATGCTTTTAAAACAAATAAGCATTTCAAATGCTCTTAATTAGCCTTTCAGCCAAAGCGCTTTCCATTTGAAGTTTGCTGATTACTTCAGGCAAAGCTGGGCCCTGTCGAACCTGACACCCGCTGTAACTCAGAAGACTCCCAGAGAGAGGAGCAGAGCAATTAAGGAGACGTCCATGGTTGAAGACATGCAGGAGTTTTCCAAGGGCCCAGGAGGGTCAGGGAACTGGGGGCAAAGAATATGGAGCATATCTTGCCCTGAAAGCCATGGAAATGGCTTCCCAGGCCCTGGATGAAAACTGCCCGTGGGGTTGAGTGGCATTTTCCCCATCATTGTTTCTATCCAAGCAGCGTCATGAAGACTGGAGAAGAGGCCAGATATTGCAGGGCCCTGTGGCAGCTCTTAGGGATGCCTCCCCATTCAGTGGCTTGCCGGGACGCCCAGAAGGTCACCTTGGCACAGCCTCCCAACAGAGGTCATTGTGCCTTTCCCAAGCCCAGCCCTGTGAGTTAGCGCCCCTGGAAGCCCTGGCTCCTTGTTGGAGAAGGCACTCCGCAGAGTCTCAGCTCTGAGTCTCAGCTCCCGGCAGAGTCCCTGCCCGAGTCTCTGGCCATGGAGGGGCAGGCCTGGCGCGTTCACCTGACCCCTTGGTCCTGGGGCCAACAGTGGGCAGCTCAAGCTCCTGTCAGTGTGACTTAGGCTTCCTTTTCTACGTTTCTGATGTAATCAGGAGTTATTTGATACGGTCACTATCATTACTGAAACTAAACAACCAACCTTCCTAGTAATTCAAGTGGCTAGAGTCAAACAGGTCATCCTCATGACACTGGAGCGCTCCTCCATCTCCCCCCAGAGGTCCTGGGTGCTGGATTTCTCCAATTACAGGTCACTCCAGGGGCCTGGCCATCTCAAGGGGACCCTTTGTTTGGAATACATGAATTGCTTATTTAATCAAAGCTCTGTAAGTGCTCGGTCCCAGGCTAGCCAGAGACAAAACCAGGTGTTCCTGCCTAGGATGCCTGCTCCATCAGCCTTCCCGAGAGCCGCATGCTCCTCTCAGGAGACTTCCTTGGGTCACACATCAAAAGGTAGCATCTTCTGCAGATGTCCACTGCTTAAAAGGCACGAGATCCCCCAAGAACATCACTGTGTTGGTTTAACCTTTGCATTGTCGATGTATTGAAGTGCAACCATCATTGTTGTGGGCAGTAAATAGCTTGAGGGCTAAGAGAACCAAGTTTGGACTCAGAGAACTGGGTTCAAATCCTAGTTTCAACACTTGCTAGCCATGTGACCTTGGGCAAGTCACTGAATCGCCTTCATCGGGAAAATGCACTTACTTCTTAGAGCTGTTGTGAGGAGGAAAGGAGACAGTGTACACATAGCGCATAGAGGTGGTTCAGCAAATGGTGGCTGTTTTCATCATTTAGCACTCCTAGCATTAGTTAGTGGTAGCTCTAGAAAGCTCAGAGTAGGACCCTGAGGAGCTAGGACACGGGGTGGATTTAAGTTGGGGTGTGGGGTGGAAAAGGGCAGGAGGATGAGACAGCAGCTAGGAGGGTGGGGTGCCAGGGGCAGACAGCCAGGAACAAGCACACAGGTGGAGGAAACTAGTCCCAGAGAGGGGGGCAGACAAAGAAGGTGCACTGACAGCAAACCTTGCCTTCCTTAACCTCCCCGAGGGTTTGGGATGGGTTATCTGTTAGCAAGGTGTGACCTTCCAAGACCAGGTCAGCTTGTATCACCTTCACCTTCTTCCTGCAGGTCCACTTTGTACTCACCTAGAGCTACTTGCTGCATATGCCGCTGGGTGATTTCTTCCTTCAGGCGACCTGTCGAAGACACAAAGGAAAACCACGAGTGAGTTTCCTACTGGTGGGAGGAAGACTTGGCCTCAGAAGCATGTGGCAAGCTAAAAAAATAGGTAGAGTAAGGAAGACAAAGCTGGCATCGCTTCCCAGAAGAGCCTTTCCATGCCCTGGATTGTGCTGCAGGAAGAGGCTACAAAGGCTGGGGCCCTGGCCCATCAATACACATTTCACCTTTGGATGTAATTGTCTTTGGGTTTAGTTATCTTAGTCTGTCACTCATAACCTTTGCTAGGGCCCTGGCCTCTTAACTAATTCTATCTGTCTATTATAATGAAGGGAGATGCAGGATTTGATCTTTTAATAATTTATAGGACCACTTATAAATTCACTTGTTTCTTTTAAGCTATGTGAAAAAAGATGGTAGTTTTAGTTGACAATAACCTTAATATGAACCTTAATATGATCAACAACAGTTGATCATTTGGTATGAAACACATATTATTCTGGATTGCATTAATAAAGGTATAGTGTGTAGATCAAGGGAGGTAATAGCTCCACTGTTCTCTGCAATGGTCAGACCACAGTCGGTATTTGTTCTAGGAGCTACTCTTCATAAGAAGCATTAGCAAAATAGAAAATATTTAGAAGATGGTGACTAGGATGGTGAGGCGTCTGAAACCACACCATATGAGAAACATTTGAGGTGACCTGAGACATTTAGATGGAGAAGAAAAGGCTCGGAGGGAGAGAAGTATGGAGATAATGCCTGTCTTTAAAAATCCAAATGTTGTCATATGGACGAGAGAACAGATTTATTTTTGTCCTACTGCTGAGGGCAGAAGTCAAGTTGAATAAAGGCAGACTTGGGCTCTCAATATGGGGAAGAAACAGCTCACAATCAGGACTGTCTCAATGTGGATTAAGTTGTCCAAAATGGACTAAGTCTCCTGGCAAATCAGAGAGCCCCTTCCTGAAAGTGCTCAGCAGAAGCTGGGTGACCATCTGTTGGCTTGTTAGAGCGAGAATTCCTGCCCCGGCTAGGAGTTGGGACAAAATGACCTTCAGGCCTCTTGTATCTCTAAAATTCCATGATTTCATGCTTGAGGGATGGGGGGAACAGCAGCCACAGGGTTTGTTTATGTCCAAGGGCTCAGGGTACTTGTTAAAATGTCAGTGCTGTCTATCTCGCATGTCCCATTTGGGAGACGTGAGCAGGTCACGGGGGGAATTCCGAGAAAGCCTGGGAACCTCATTGCTTCCTTGTCTCATATGTTTCTTTCCTCACGCAAAGTGCTTTCTACACCTTGAAGGCTACAGCTGAACTGAGTCTTCAAAGATGAGTAGACGATGGAGCAGTCAGGGGAGACCTTGTCTCTCACGGAAAGTTCTAGGGTGCTCCTAGAATGTTGTGATTGGGAGGGATGGCAGAGGTCATTCAGTTTAACTTCCCACCCAATTTAGGAGTCCCTTCTACAGAATGAAACGGTCATTTCCCCTCTGACTTTTATGTATCCAGGCTGTTCCACAGATTAACTTGTATATAAGGAACTCCTGATGTGGCATTGACACCGGCTTCCTTGTAACTTTCAGATTTGGACCTGGCCTGTTCTCTGGAACAGCACAGAAGAAGGATCCTCTCTCGTTGGCAGTGAGAGCCCTTTGCATGTCTGAGGATGCTGCAGTTTCTCCACGTAGACTTGTCCTCTCGGGTTGAACATCACCAGTTCCTCCAGCTCCCCCTTGGAGACTGCTGTTTCCAGGGTTGTCATCACGCAAGTCTGTGCCTTGCCTTCCATGTGTCCCCACTGGAGAGGGCTGTGCACAGAGAAGAAGCCAAGGATTGGGCATAAGCAACTATTAGCACCCTAACTCCAAGTGGCCGTAGGTGGGAACTTGGGGAGTATGTGGGGGGGAGTTGGGGAGGTGGAAACCTGGCCCAAAGATGAGTACTGGATGAGCCTGGAGCCAACAGGAACGTGACCTGAAACCCAGGTCAGCCACAGCCACAGATGGGAGCTCATCCCCGCTCCGAGTGACATGCCCCTTACTGTGTATATCAGCAGAGTAAAGAGGTTAGGGGTACAGGGGTGGTGCTGGGCTGGGACTCCAGTCTGTCCAACATTGCTGACTTGAACTGTAAAGAAGCTTAGCACATGCAGTTTTTAATAAACGGAGACAGTGCTGTGACAAATGCAGCACGCCATTTAGGCACATCTCTTGATTTAGGTCACTAAGGGCTTTCTCACGCCCACAGTACAGAGAGCCAATGCTGCCTTGGTGCCTGGCCTGTTTCCTGAGTATCTGGCACAGGTACTTTGCACCACGAGCCTCTTTTGTGCCTGGGTACCTCCTCCGTAATGAGACTGGACAGTGATCTGCTCCTTTAGAGCACACACTGGGCTGCATTTCTCCCTCGAAAACCGCCTCCCTGACATGGAGCCTCCTCGACAACTCCTGACGACTTGCCTCCCTGACCACTGGCCTCGTTGACCAGTGGCCTCCCCAACAATGTGCCTCCCAACCAGGTGTGTCCCATCCTCAGGCCTTGTATGTCATGACTTCCCCTGCTTCATATCGGAATGACCAGGCTCCCTTCCCCAAACCCTGGGGAAGCTATTTTGGAATGACAGGGTTAAGGATTCCACAGCCCCCAGCCTGGGAAGAGCTGCTTATATAAATAAAGAGGGGGATTTTGCCACCAGGATTGAAAGTTCTGTAAACTCCACAAACATAAATATCTACTCCCAGAACAATGAGCCATCCCTAGGGGACAAAAGGTGGGTCTTTATAATGCTACATACTGATAAAAGTAGGTTTAAAATGTGTTTAGTGATGCTCAATTTTGGCAAATTGGCTAACATCTCCCACCACATGGCAATTTTTGTTTTTGAGATCTTCCCAAACAAGCTTCTAAAAATAGCCTCATGACTGATACCTAATTGCGTTTTCCAACAGAGCCGTTCTTCATGGGAAGATAAGAGTCTCTGTAATCTGCTGGATCTTGCAGCTGCACAGGTTTTGGCAAAAGAAGGAGTGGACGTGGATTGCAGAATTCACTCTGCATGCAGCTTGCTGTCATTAGCAGGGTGATAAATTTTGCTGGTTTTGGCCTGGGTTCCTGGACGCGTCCCCGGCCCGAGGTATGGAAAAGAGATGCAACAGAAACAGAGAACTCCCAGCCTGAGGCAGGAGATGATCTGGGAGGGCAGCAGGGCAGGGAGGAGAGCTCTGCTTGTAGGAGAATGGTGGGAATTAGTGATTTTCTCTCCAGTTATTTACAACAGTACATGCCAGAAACACCTTCCCTCCCTTTCTGATTCAGTAATTGAAAGAGTGGGGGTGGCAGCCACAGGTAGAGGGGGTACACTGAGCCTGCAATAACCTGTGGGAAGATCCAGAGGAGGTGCATGACCTTAAAAGTACCCTGGTGCAGGGTATGTGGAGGTGGGGCATCGCATGTTGTACAGTTTCTCTGTACTAAGTAGATCATATGAAAAATATTACCATCATGCAGAAGCAACACTTATTTTTTATACACTGATATTCAGTCCTCTGGATAAAACAATTTTTCTTAAGCTTCACACTTTATTTTGCATGCATGTGAGTTTGAAATCATTCATCCAGTGAAAGCTGCTTAGCTGGTCCAGAGCAGAGCTATTCACTTACGACTCCCTCAGTATGGCCGTTGCAGGCTGCTCGGGCAATTTCTGTGACGAGGATGTTAATGTTGCTATCAAGCCGTAAATATTTATCACTCATACACTGTATGTTAAGCCCTGTGTTCTAAGTGCTGCGTAATATACAAACTAGTAGAAGCCTCTCTAGCTGAGCTCAAGGAAGTTTGCATGATGTGAGGACGGCAAACAGGGGCCTGTGTGCTCTTCCTTTTAAAAGCTGGACCCAGGGCCAACCTTGCTGTTCCCTCATGGATGGTTTGCCTTCCTGCTGAGCCTGAGTTTGGCTCTTCAACACAGCACTTGGGGCAGCTGTAAGCAGTCACTTGGAGTTGGACTGGAGATGAAGCAAACTGCTTTGCCATTTTAGTTACACCGGAAAGTAATTACAAATTTGTAGGTAGACAGAGTTCAGTTCAAATCCTAATTCTACTACTTCCTAGTTGGGAAGGCTACTTAACATCTCTAATCCTCGATTTTATCACTTGAGAAATGGGAATAATAATGTAACTGTGATAATATCTGCTCTCCTATATCTCAAGATTCTTGGGATGATCAAGGGATAACGAACCAGCATATATGATACTCCACACTCGTTTTAGGTATTAAGGCACTTTCAGATATATTGAAAGGACACTGTATACAGAAGATGACGAGCCCGCAGGCCAAGTGGCTAACTGTCAAAGCAATGGTAGAGATGAGGGAAAGGCGGGTTAGTGGCATTAGAAAAGGCATCATTACTAAAAGTGAGACTTGAGTAGATTCCAAAAGGAGCAGGGGTGTTAAGGTGGGGGGATTGGGAACGGCCTTCCAGTCAAAGGGAGTTGTTGGGGCAATAGGGTGGAGAAGGCGGGATGTACATGGTTTGGGGCAGGGGTTGGAAAGGAGGGCTTGAATGGAGGAGTAGGGCTGGGGGGAGACTGAGTTTGATTTATACAAGAGTCCAGGGTCCTAGGTAATTCCTAAGGGCTCTGGATCCAGGTAAAATCTATTCTTCTGTTTGACTCTACTACTGTAGTATCCCAGTAAAACCAAATTAAACTAAACATCAATAGCAGAATTGGGGTGTGGAGCGAATACGAGGACTTCCTGCCCGAGGGGCCTCTTTGAGAGGGAAGGCCTAGTTAGTGCTTCTGAATTTGGAGTGTCAATTTTACCTGTGACGTGGGAAACCAGTTTCTTTGTACTAGCACAGAGGATTGTGATTACCAAAAGGTTAGATTCCCTAAAGGCTGCTTGTAAGGCTATTTGTAAAAACAATGTGTTTAGCATAAATTAAATGTGTAATCCTTAGATGAATTTCCAACAAACAGGAGTGTGTAAATCCTTTGAAGTCTTAAAATCAGG